GGTAGGTATCGAAAGAAATTTCTATATAGTGTATGAGCTGTAAACATGGAAATCGATTGCAAAAGGATAACTGCAAAATGGAATTCGATGGGATCTGTGGATAGAACACATTGCCCTCTTCAGCTGCTGTGTGTTTTGTGTAAGTCCCGTTACAACCTATCATAACTCGTGGACGAATCAACAGGGAAAGACAATAATGTTGTATCTCTGTTGAAAACAACCACAAAATACGAAAATATTAGCACGATCAGTAATGTTGGTTGAAACCCGTATAAATATCCTGGAATGCTTCTATGTAGATACATACATACATACACGTACATATGTTACATACATACATCAATCACTAAAGATTGGAGTTCGAGATATAAAATATACTTGTAAACCAAATCTATACTGGAAATATATTGGTGTTTTTATGGAAACTTAAGATAAGAAACTAAACTAAACATAAATACAATTTTTCACCAGCTAATCCCCTCCCCCACAAAGCAATTAAAGCATTTCCCATAGCAATAAGGACGAAGGGTGTGCGGTGTGTACGCTTTTCCATCAGTACATATTACACATGTAAATCGAGGGTGACGGACCTCTAAACCTCAACTTCAACATCAGAAAACTCCACAAATAGCCAGAATGAAGGGAAAACAAGAGTGACACACAAACAGAAAATGCCCAGATTTATATGTAAACGATTGAAAACTGATCAACATATATACATAATTACAGCACAGAACAAGACGAAATTTTCCATGGGTAACGTGTGAACCGGGGACTGGAACGGGAACGGGAACGGGAACGTGATCGGGTGTGTTGTGTCACTCTCAAAAGTGTCTACTGTGTGTGCCTGTGTTTGTGAGTGTGCGGAGAAAACCCTGAGCTAAATCGGGGGGAGATATTAGTAGTATGGGGGGGAATGGGGCAGGGGGAAGGGAAACCAAGCCGTTGACAACAATTCAAAGATTATGAAAATCTTTGGTCATTGGGTTAAAGCAGAAGAAGGAAGAGACCCGACTAAAACAATGAGCAGCCGAAGGTTAGAAGAGTGCCCAGAGATAAAGCCGGTTGGGAAAAGGAGAGACAAATAGGGACAGAAGAATGTGGAGTAGGGGATGGGTTATTTTCATATTAACATAATCAATGAAGTATTTTCTAAGGGTTCAACTAAATATCTAAGGCGAAAGGCACGACACACACACACCATTACTGGGATGAAATACTTGAATGCACTTACGGAAAATCTCCAATCAGCAGCCACGACGACCCCCTACTGATGAGAGCGTTTCGATTTTGTACGGCAATGGGCACACAACTGAACAACATGTGAGTTTGTCTTAAAAAAAAGATACAGAAAGACAGCCAGGCGGACGTATGGACGGATGGACAGCGGGACAGACGATCTGAAGTGATATTTGAGTAAAGGCAAAAGACGACGAACCGAACCCCTCGGTGAAGTGGCAAAACCGACGTGAAACGCTTTCAAATGCCCCGAGCGGGCAAAGGATAATAAACGAACCAGCGATCACTAACGCATATCAATTTGTTTTCGATGGACCTGGACCTGTACCGACACGGAGACGGAGACGAAGGAAACGATTAACGCTAAACACTTGAATGCCCATCCCCATACCCATCCACATCGCCATTCCCATCCCAAAAAAATTATACAACAATGAGAATACATACTTATAAAGAAGTCCCCGTCATTGGGCATGCCTTATCTGCAGGCACATAAAGTGCCAAAAAATATGGCAAAAGGAAATCGTTTCCTCCTCCTCGTTCGCCTGTCAATGTCAACGTCAAATACGACGTGCGATCCGCTGGAGTTTGGAAATGAAATCGACGAACGGAGATTGTCTCCATGGATAGCAGATAGAGTAATGAGCTAACCCGTCTAAATATTATAAATAATTTGAAATCATAATTCATATGATCCCGCGGTGGTCGTTTTTGTAGTAAATGGGCAAAACTAAGAACAATTCTGAGCGAATTCGCGGTTCTGTCAAATATAAAAATAATATAAAAAGTTGATTTTTAAAACCAACCGATTTTTCTTAACAAATTTTTTAGCAAGACTTGCTTCCGTTTCTTTTCCTTGCGCTACCTCATAGCGCAAGTACTTACACCCGTTCAAAACCGTTCCAAACTCGGCTTGAAAAAAATAAATGCGGCCTTAAGTATCGTCCTGCAAAGGAGTGTGATATGGGCCTAGCTGACAACCTAACGGCTATTGGCCGTTTCAAATACCAGATTTGTGTGGTGTTACCCATCTGGATAAGATTTTTTCCGGCAACACAAAAGCACCCTTCTACGAAGTTATTCTAAGAAAATTACATATATGATTCGAGCTTCACGCCGACGAATTGGCGGGACGTATTCGATAATTTGGCGGATTATCACTCAATAGTCCCCGAAGAATATGATCAATATATCAATATCAATAACCGGAGCTGTTCAACATCGAGAGATGGCTGAAAAATTGTTTTCTTTTCCGCGCGTAACCCCATTGGAGCTGAAGGAAGTAAATTCCATTGAGTTCGAAACAATGGGTTTCATTATTAAAATGTTTGCAGCGGACATTATAAACTATGCATCCAAGATTAGCCAGCCTAATGACCTTCAAGAGGATGCTCTCTATTTTATAGCCCGCTTCGTCGGGACACCGCTACTTGCACCGAAGAAACCACGTAAAATATCTTTTTTTTCCCTACTCTACTCTACTTCTCTGCAATTTTCTAGAGTGCGGTGCGGTTATATACGGAATTTTAAAGATTTTGTAGGCAGCGATTGCGGCTGTTGATGGGGCGACTGATGAGCGATGTCATGCAACAAGGGAACCTTCTACTTTCAGGCATATACGCCAAATCAATCAGAGGATTCGAGACGCTTCGGTGGAAAGGGTGTCATTTCGAACAGATCCACGCTCCAAAACGCAAAAGGGAAGTGAAGTCAAAATTAATAAAATTAAAAAAGTCAAAGTAATAATGGTTTTAATAACTTGATACTTCCAGACACTTCTTCGAGACGGCTTCACATGTTCGCAAGGTTCTTTGGGCCCCACCTCCAAAGTAAATATAGTGGACTAGGCCTATTGGGGACACCACTTAAAAAATACGCACAAAAAACTGTAGCTCTGGGGTGCTTTGGAATGAGTTTTTTTATTTCATGTGTGGTTCTCAATTATTTTTGGCTATGCTTACTGCCCTATTTAATTTCTTCGATGAAGCCGTTAGAGCTCGATATGTCGAGCAGGTCGGTCGATATGCAAAGCTGTATAGTATATCATTTCAGACTGTTGGTCCAGGGCCATAGGTGCTATGTGGGTGCGGGTGGCATGTTGTTGCGGGAGTACCATCTTGGTGCGGAAGTAGCAATTTCCATTTTGGTGCGGGTGACATGTTGGGGCGTCTTCAGGTCGAATCTGAGCTCTCGGCCATGATTATAGCTCGGATCCGGCGTATGGAGCGCGGCATACAGATAATTATTTCTCACCCGTCAAACTAAAATCAACTCCCAGTGTCTTCACCTGTCAAATGAACAGTTGTTCGGCAGCTGATATCCACTTTAATTTCCTCGCCCAAAAGTATGCAACAATTTTCTGCAATGATAGACCCGCCAGATTTGAATCGTATTGCTTATCAGATTAATGGAAAATAGTTTTATTCGATTTATTTTTTAAATCAATTCAATTTTTATTTAAGAAATTTATAATTTTCCCATGATAATTATTCCACAAAAATATTTAGCTCTCACTCGGCGCCGCTCTCCACAATCTATCTTTTTCATGTGGGAAATTTTTATTTTATTGTAAACAAGCGTGGAAAGTTAACTTAATCTAGTTTTACATTTAAGGGGAAAAAAATTGGTCACATGAGATACATACACACATAAAATTAATGTTACATATATGGATGGGGTATATACATTATTTACACTATTTATACAAAATTAATGGAATTTATAGGGAGATGTAGGGAGATCCAGTGAATGACACCTTTTGAGTCTTCTTTTCCATGGCGGGGTAATTAAACGTCTGGATAGCGCATTAGGGTGACCACCAAGCAAAAATTACGTAACATTCCAAACGCACTTACGTTGCTTTACGTACACACTCACATTTTATGCTTTGACCTTTTTTGTTTCATTTTTTTTTATAAACAATGCAATAAAAAGGAGTCGTTAAAATTGGTCAATCTTGTAGAAAATTGATTGATCAATCGGCTAAAATTATGTGTTCAAGGCTGAGGATCCCAGCTAGCTAGTGATAATTAAACGAATATTAAAATGGAGGAATATGATTTGCGATCCGGGACAGAGAACGATTAGCCCATTGTAGACCAGTGGATAGTAAACTATACTCCACGAAAATAATCAAAGTTGAAATATTTGTTTTAAGTAAAGATAAAGGATAGGATGTTTCCACAAGAAGAATTGGCATACAGTAAAACAAACTCAAGTTGTTCGCCGGTTTAAATAGAGGGGCGTTAGGTGGGTTAAGCTCGACCGTCGCTATTTTCATGGATCACCTGTAGTTCTCAATTAATTAATAACAATAGTCATGGACACCTGGCACGACCTGACTCGCGAAGATATATTGGAGCAATTCAAAAGGGTAAACATCCATTTTCATACAGGACATACATATGTATGTTGTCTCATGTAAATGTGTATAATGTAACAGTAATTTTTGGTGTTTGTTTTTTTCAGAGGGAGCTGCACTTGACAAATGAAAAGGATTTGACGCTAGATGAACTACGGGTGATATACAAAGGATTCATTGTGCCGCTACCGCGCCGCGAGCCACGGGATCGCCGTCCCCAGAAACCCATGGAGATCGATCAGCTAACGGAGCGCATTAAAGTGGTGTCTATGGTTGGAGGCAAGCGACCGATCGCGGAAGAACCCTGTTGCTCCAATCAATCTAGTCATGAAGCCAAGCAAATCAAGATGGACCTCCATTGACCCTTGCCTGGCATCTGCTCGATAAGGCATTTTCCAACTGTGCGCCAGTCGAGATGCATCGTCTGCTGTTAGTCATCGGCCTACTGATCTTGGTGGCTGCCGCCGAAGTTTTTCCGGTGGAACCGGACTTGGAAGGCTACCAGATGATCCTGCGACGTGCTGCCAACAGCGCCGATAAGCTGCAAGTCTTTCAAAGCATTTGGGGAGCCATACGGTCCGACTTTATCGATGATACCGACAAGGTGAAAGGTCTTTACACCCAGCTGGGTAACTTCATACGCACTGATATGCAGTGTACCAGTGGACCCACGGGGCGCTCGGCCTGTGAGTTGCAGCAGGAGGTGCGACGGCACCTGCGGTCACTGATGTCGCAACGCCTGGCCAATCTCATCAATGCCGAGGAGAGCATTCAGTCGTATGGCATGTATGTGGCATCCAGCATAGAACCGTCCCTAGTTCGTGACATCCTAGAGCATACCATCGAAGACGTCTACTTCCACCGGCCGCTGGAGAAGCTCACTCAGCAACTGGACAAGCTGTACACGGACAGGGACGAAGTCAGCTTCAAAATGATGATCGAGGCCCAGCTATCGCTCTTCTGGCGCTACCAGACAATGCACGATAGCAACGAGGCCTTTCTGTTCAACATGGCGCATGCGGTGAGCAAGATCCAGACCCATCACATGTATGCCAGCGTGGACGCGTCGCTGCAACGACGAGTAGAGGCACTGAATCACAGTCTGCCGCCAGTGCTGGGGGCCCTCTTCCATCCCCAAGGCTTCTGCTTGCTCAGTCGCGATAACCGTGAGTATTTGTATACGACCATCACTGATGACTGGAACTACGGCCTCAACGGACGTCAGGTCTTCACTTGGCATGAGCAGAACTATACGGACTCGGCTGGTCTCATTCGAGCGTTTGTCCAGGAGCAGCACTCCACGCCTGTGTTCTCGCTGCGCAGTGAACTCTTCAAATGGTACTTCTTTGTGGATCCCAGCGAGGGAAATCGCCTGGCTGCGCTTCGTTCGGGCAGTCCCAGCTCCTCCACCAGCTTCTGGACCGTCACTTATGTAGAAGATGCCCTCATCTTTCGCCAGCGCGACCTCACACTCTGTGCCGCTGAAATGCTTGACAAGGAACGACGCCTAATCAAGATGCTGCCGGGACAGATGCATACGCCTCCATCACAGGCCTGCCAGTGGCTGCCCGTGGACTGTGCCCCTCCAAAATGAAAGAGATGGCAATAAAGTCAAAATTTCGATTTATTCCGAAAATATTTTCTTTTGTACAATGAAAATTCTGGTCCAGTAAAAAAATATCCGGGAAGAAAGTTAAGAACTATACCGAGTGGAGCAATACAGTGCGTTTCAGCAAATCATTGTTAAGTAAATGGATAAAAAAATAAGAAAGTGGTGGTTAATAATTGATTGTATGTATGTGTCTGGTTGAGGTCAGTTATTGAATTAAATCAAGTTTATTTAGTCAGTCAGTCTAAAGTAAAGTAAGATACTCTTTCGGAAAATAATTGTAGAGGTCGGTTCCAATGGCTAGTCGCGAAATATTAAGTAAGTACTCATTTTCGTTTATATGTAGCTATTTGGTACGAGACAATTCTGAAAATGAATTGAAAATGATCGCATACGTTTGAGGTGTATATCTCTATGACTTCTCCTTATTTGGCATTCATTATGATTAAGCGGCGATCGAAGGAACTTTTTCGTGAATCTGGCAAAACAGCCAATGGTGCGATAAGGTTGAAAAATTAGCATGAAATTCATTCATTTAGCAACCTGTGTGTAAACATTCTTTGAGGGAACGGGAACTTGACCAAAGTACACAAACCCATATCAGAACATTTAATCTTATCTTAGTCTAATGAGTCTCTTGATTCGTGTGGATCGGCTCTTTTCGTTTTTCTCCTGTTTGGTCTTAATCCTGCTCCGTGTATTCGTCATCGCTATCAGACTCATAGGCCTGCTGAATGTTCGCACGTAGCGTGTCTCGTTGGTAGGCCGGTGAATGGAGCTGGGGCATAGGCGCCCGACGACGATGATCCTGGCTGACGTTGAACCCATTGTTGGACAAGGGCCGGTAGTGCATGCTGCACTGCAGATAGTCCTCGGCCTCGTTCTGGTCGGCAGCCTCCATTGACTCTTCTATGGTGCGTGAGTAGTCCTCGATCTCTTCATCGAACAAATGTGGTTCCCCATTGGCAAAGGAAGCGAAGCGAATGGGATTGCGTAGGTTGCTCATTATGTTCCACTGCTTGCAGTTGGGGCTGTTGACGAACTCGCGCAGCTCCGCCAGTGACTTTTGTGTCTCGTTTACCGTCTGCTGGTAGTACTCTTCTTGTGTGAGCAGGCGCCGCTTGGGCGGAAAGCGGCGTCGATAGAGCGATTTCCCATATACCACGAGCGATTGTGGGAAATAGTATGCCGCAAAGACAGAGACTATCAGAAATAGAACTCCACTAGAATGCCAGCTACTAAAGTAGGCCAGACCCCCACCAACCGCCTGGAGCAGCCACATGATGATGTTCTGGGAGCGCCTATTCTTAGGTGGGCCGATGCGGTAGCAGACGAGGAATGATATGAGGCTGGTTATGATCAAATACCAAACCACATAGTCGCGATAGGTCAATAGGATTAGACGCATGTTGTCGGCCAACTGCTTGAGTATATATACTCCAATTGTCCAGCCACCAATCAGGACGCCATACATCATGGGTCGCCTGGGGAAAAGTTTTGATGTTAAAGAGATGATGAGCAGCAGCGAGCCGCAAATACCCAGCACAATGCCAGCCAAATAATAGAATATGCTGTTCTTGGCCAAGGTACGGCTGCTGCAGAAGACGAGGACGCCCAAGCCAAACTGTAGAAACCGCCAGACATCGAACTGCGCATGATGGAGTCTCACATTGTAGGGCTGCCTGGAGGAAACACCAATGCACTCGGGTTCAAATGGTGACAGATGTATCCGTTGACGCTTCTGCGAGAAGAGCGTAAAGCTGAAGAGGGAGCGCTGCTCATTGTAGTGATCCAGCACCTCCTTTGGAGTGCGTCCGGCATATTCGGTATAGTCATCGTTGCCGATGTCCAGAAAGAACTCAACCGTTTGGAATACACTGAGTAGCGAGGACGGTTTACCAGGATAGCAGTATGTCCTTAGCGTATTTGGCCCATACCTATTGGCGGTGATATCGATGGATGTTCCCGGCGCCAAAAACACTGTGTCCGCCATTGGGGGCGGGGATGCGGCAGCGCATATCGCCATCAGTGTAAATAGAGAAATGAATCCGCATCTCAGACGTTGCTGGAACATTTTTATGATCTATAATTCAGATATTTGTTGCAACAAATTAAAATAAATAACTTCGAAATGGAATGCGAGTCGGCGTTGTTGTTGCGTATCGATATCAGATTTATCGACCCTCAGAAATATACCGAGCTACTTGACAAATTTCAAAATATACCGTAAATATACTGCCGAATGATTTGCATTCAAGTTGCATCGCAATTGCAGCAAATTCAACAAAGGCTAATGCCATACAGCTTTAAAGAGTCCCTTAATTTGGCTTATCGTCGTATTTCACTACACTTCCAGGTTAATCTATTTTACAAGTCGGGGACAGGGCTGCAAATAATATCGATCAGCTATCGATTACAGTCAGGGTTTCAGGGTTGTTTTGAGAGAGACCATTATTTAAATTTGTGTCTGTCATGACTGAACAGTCTGCAGGATTCCAATAATTTTAAGATATCTGGCGGACATTGCTACACAAATAATAAGATGCAGTACAGAAACCGCTTAATATGTATATTGGTAAGTTTTTTTGCGAACAAATCGGTAAAACAATTACAATTTTTGCTTAAAGGCAGACTAGAAAGTCGGTGCTGGTGCTCGCTGAGGTTAGCCTGGATACTGTTGACATTGTGACACTTTTGGGGTGGTCGTCACTGTGAGCAGTGTCCATCGGTATATGTTCCCACTGAAGACGGTTGGAGTAGCTGTGGGCGCTGCTGCTGGGCCAGACGATTTACAATCACAATCTATGTTCTATGACGTGACTGAAAAGATCGACGATCCAAGTACCTACTTTCTTACGGACGGACTCGGAATGCCCACTGTCGCTGCTTCGTTCATGTCATAGCACGCTCAAGTAGCCCACTTTGCGGTGGCCTACCAGAACAAGGTTTTGCTCCACGCTATAAACTGTGTCGATGACTTCAATGTGACGAACGAGGTCCAGGAACCGGATCTGATGCCTCGATTTCTGTGCAACCTTGCGGTTGCTCTGATCGGTTTCTGATCGGTGTCCATTGGAAGGATGGCGCCAGTGTAGTCATCATCTATGCTTCTGGCAGCCAGTTTGGCCGCCAGATCGATGGTCGATTCTCGCTGATACAGTTTCTTATCCGTTTCCACTTTGACATCCGTCGTCATTGTGAGATTGTCTGGAAAGAATGGGGCCATCAGCGAGGTCACATTTGTAGCTTGCTCCCCAATGAACAGAATATGCTGCCACAGTTCGCATGGACGTGGCAGGGCAAAAGATTGCCACCTAATGAGGCATGCCGCATCCATGGCACCCAATATGGAAAAACCAAACCAATGGGCTCCGAGTACTTGATGTGGTATTGCTCGCAGCAGGAGTAGACACGATCCCATAGCCTAGTGGCGATTTCCGTCACTGACCACAAACTCTTTGAACTCGTTCTGGATCTCATCCTTGACAGCCTGGCACACCCGCTCCTTGAGCACTGTCATCGACAGCTGCCTAACATCAAACTGCATGTTGACGCGTCGGAACATCTTTTTGGGGGAATCCACAATAGATGAATCTACATTTCCGGCAAAGATATACTCACATATAAGGCCTTGGTAATCAGAGTCCGATCGAATCGACCCGGATGGAAAATGTACGAGCAGTAGGCCTCGCGTGGATCGATGCCATGCTGCATGGTGAGACAATAACCCTCTGGTGGCGGTTCTAGGACAGAAGAAACCCATTGAATGGGCTGATTAGAGCCATAATAGATCGTGGAGACATTAAAATCCACTTCAACATTGCTCCAGAGCGCCCAGATGTGTAAGAGGGTGACATTAAAGTTGATCAGATCCATGTCTGGCTTCACCACTGTGTGCTTCATAATCAATTCTATGTCTCTGGAACCCACATCTGTCATATTCTTGTCGAGTTGCACGCAAAAAACTCAGCCCCATCGTTGTGTGAGAGTTGTTTGTGCTGCAGAAATAAACCAAATATGCATTAGCAGCTCGAAAGATAGATGTTCTAGAATTCGAACACTTACGTCCTTGTGCTGTTGGTGCTCCTTGACCTCCATCAGAGCAGTTAATGGTGGATACTGCCTGCATAGTATCCACTGACCAGAGTCGCAGCTCATTGCTCCTGTAAACAACTAGAAGATAGGCCGTGCCATCGATTTCACTGAATGACATGTAATTGACCGCATCCACAGAGTCCGCTTGTCTAATAAAATAGCAAAAAAAGACAACATTAAATCGGTATGTCTTGACCCAGAAGCTGCGGCACTCACCTCAGAGCACCCGCAAGGTTGTACAGAAAGCGAGGCATCAGATGTGGTTCCCTGACCTCGTGCGTCACAGTGGAGTCATCGGCACAGTTTATAAAGTGGAGCAAAACCTTGTTCTGGTAGGCCACCGCAAAGTGGGCTACTTGAGCGTGCTCCGACATAAACGAAGCAGCGACAGTGGGCATTCCGAGTCCGTCCGTAAGGAGTAGGTACTTGGATCTGCGATCTTTTCAGTCACGTCATAGAACATAGATTGTGACTGAAGATCGTCTGGCCCAGCAGCAGCGCCCACAGCTACTCCAACCGTCTTCAGTGGGAACATATACCGATGGACACTGCTCACAGTGACGACCACCCCAAAAGTGTCACAATGTCAACAGTATCCAGGCTGACCTCAGCGAGCACCAGCACCGACTTTCTAGTCTGCCTTTAAGCAAAAATTGTAATTGTTTTACCGATTTGTTCGCAAAAAAACTTACCAATATACATATTAAGCGGTTTCTGTACTGCATCTTATTATTTGTGTAGCAATGTCCGCCAGATATCTTAAAATTATTGGAATCCTGCAGACTGTTCAGTCATGACAAACACAAATTTAAATAATGGTCTCTCTCAAAACAACCCTGAAACCCTGACTGTAATCGATAGCTGATCGATATTAATTGCAGCCCTGTCCCCGTCTTGTGAAATAGATTGATCTGGAAGTGTAGTGAAAAACGACGATAAGCCAAATTAAGGGACTCTTTAAAGCTGTATGACATTAGACTTTGTTGAATTTGCTGCAATTGCGATGCAACTTGAATGCAAATAATCCGGCAGTATATTTACGGTATATTTTGAAATTTGTCAAGTAGCTCGGTATATTTCCCACCCCCTCCCATGTACAGAACTATTGTTCTTTCAAGTTTAGAATTTTTCAAAATATGTATTTTTGTATATAGTGACGGGACAACTCCATGGTTCCCATGGCCAACTCCCATCACCAGAAATCGTCTCCTTGAAAAATGTACTAAATTTTGAGATGGGAGATTGATATTCTCGATAGTACCATGATAGTAGAAAAACCATCGATAGTAGCGGCTAGCACCAAAACACCGATACTATCGATAGTGCCCTCGATGGTTTGACACCTCTATTCTGGGCAAAAACAGCGGCCGATTTTCAGCAACAAATTCCATTGTATTCCTTTTTTGCCACACTCCTAATAGAAAAAAAGGTGAAGATGGCGTAGAGCGAAAGTGTTTTCCGAGTTGAAACCGAGGGCTGTGTTGGGACTTGTGCAGGGATTTTGCTTTGTGACTCCAGCGAGAAAATCAGTTGAACGCCGCCTAACCTACAAAGTTACATAATTTTAATATGTTGTTTTGATTAGACGTTGCTGCTGCAAGGACATTAACGCAAAACTCTAATATAATTGCCTTTTCCTCTTGCAGTGAAATATGTCGTTCGTTAAGAATGCCCGTTTCTTGGCCGCACGCGGCGCTCGCCTTGCCCAGTCCCGGGCCTACTCGGACGAGATGAAGCTGACCTTTGCTGCTGCCAACCAGACCTTCTACGATGCCGCCGTGGTCCGCCAGATCGATGTTCCCTCCTTCAGCGGAGCCTTCGGCATTCTGGCCAAGCATGTGCCCACATTGGGTAAGTCCATCGCCCCGCTGATTATATCACACTCGAAACGCTTCTAATTGGGTCTTGTATGTTGTGCCCACAGCTGTGCTGAAGCCAGGTGTTGTCCAGGTTGTGGATAACGATGGTAAGACCACCAAATACTTTGTCTCCAGCGGCTCGGTGACCGTCAACGAGGACTCTTCCGTTCAGGTGCTGGCCGAGGAAGCTCACAATGTTGCGGACATTGACGTCGCCGAGGCCAGACAACTGCTGAGCAAATATCAGTCCCAGCTGAGCTCCGCTGGTGACGACAAGGTACGTCCTTCTCTCCCACTCAAACCCCGTCCAGAACTCTCATCACTCTTCCAATTTCCGTTGCAGGCCAAGGCAGAAGCTGCCATTGCCGTCGAAGTCGCTGAGGCGTTAGTCAAAGCTGCCGAATAGACGTAATCACAACCACACACAACACCCAAAAGCTAAGGCATTGCGTTTAAAGTAAATAGATACACAACATAACTGAATTGGTGGCCAATTTCAAAAGCTGGCTGACATCCCACGTTATGAAACAATAAAAGGCGAATTATAATATCGAACTAATGACAACCCTGTGGATCAATCGCATCGCATCTCAGCGCACGAGTTTTTGTGTTTTTTTTTTGTTGTTTTCATGTGTTTTCTGTTGCTACTAATCGTCTTTGTAACGATTTGTAAGCCCCTCTTAAAACAAAATGTCTATTTTCTCGCCGTACACTGTCGCATGGAGAGAGAGCTTAAGGCAAGATTTCGGGGCTCCCCCAATATGCAAATGCTATAATGATATGTTGAGTAAATCTTTTACTAAACGGTTGTCTGAAGTGTGCGAGAAAGATGGAAGAAACATACGAACTTGCACCTGTGAAACAATCTGCAAACCATCGGCAATAGCTGTTTTTACACACATGCAGAAAGTATTATCAAAGTTCTCCACCGTTCGTATGTCTGATTCGTTTCTGTGGAATAGATCAGAGGGATCTCAAAACCATTCTAAACGTTATTTAATCAACATCGGACTACTACTTTTTATATAATATCTAGCCTCCATAGGTAGACGAGGCTTTGCATTCGAGGAAACATCAGAGTAACCACTTCTTTTTGTTTGGAAAATTGCAATGCAAATTTTTGTTTGTTCTGCATACCATATCCGACGTTTATTGCGAACGATCATCCTGTAAGAGTATCAAAAACGCTCGAAGCTCCTGCTGCCATGAGAAATCAAGCGCTTCTGAGAAAGTGTCGTATGCCTAAGCGAACGATCATGTCTATCTTGCTGCACGGTGTGGTGGATTTGTATGGAAATCGCTGCTTCGACTGCTGCGCGTGTGCACAGTCTCCCATCCCTTCCGAAATGAAACCCGATCGGAAGGTCAAGTTTACAGCCAGGCCAGCCAGCCAGACTCGCTTTGTGGCTGTGCTGTTGAAAGTGAGAGTAGGCCGCGGATTGGAATTTATCTTTTCGGTATTTATGTATTTTCTAGCAAAAAAAAATGGGTAAAAAAATGACTTAAATTAACTCATGGCGTTGTGTAGGAAAAGTCGATAGAGGTAGAGTGGTAGTAGTAGTAGGTCGAAGGTCTTCCCGAGTCTGGGATGTGTGGCGACGGGGAGGTGGGGGAAAGCGTCTTAGTAGGCTGGTGGGCCGTAGGTCTGGGCGGGCGCATGTCCCACGGGCAGGAGTTGTTCCTCGGGCGCGAACACTGGGGCGGGTGCTTGGTGGGGGATGCTCAGGATCGGCGCAGGTGCCTGGATGGGGGCACTGTACACCTGAGGTGGGGAGGCATACACTGGAGCTGGAGCAGGAGCAGAATATACCGGAGCCGGGGCAGGAGCTGGAGCATAGTTCACTTGAGGTGGGGAGGCATACACTGGAGCTGGAGCGGGAGCAGAATATACCGGAGCCGGAGCAGGAGCTGGAGCATAGTTCACTTGAGGTGGGGTGGCATACACTGGAGCTGGAGCGGGAGCAGCATAAACTGGAGCGGGTGCAGGGGCAGCATAGACTGGAGCGGGTGCAGGGGGAGCATAAACTGGAGCCTCCTGGACAGGGGCCAGGTAGGAAGACACCGGAGCTGGTCCGGGAACATCGATGGGAGCGTAAGCTGGGCCTCCGCCAAAGCCGCCCGAATGCTCATGGATAACGCGCACAACCTTGGCGTGTCCACCCTGAATTGAGCCAGAATGTCCGCCGTAGGAAGCACCACCGTCATGGTTCTCGTGCACCACCTTGATCACCTGGGAAACACCCGACGAGCCGCCGCCGCCGCCTCCAACGAAAGATGGACCGCTGACCAGAGGAGCGGACTCCGACAATAACTTGATCACCTTGACGGATTCTGGAGCACCGTAGACTGGTCCGGGGGCTGGACCATGGCCATGGCTGCCGCCTTCGGAGATGACCTTTACTTTGTAGACCTGTGGGGCGGGCTCGTAGCCATAGCCGCCGGCATAGCCCCCACCGCCGCCGCCGCCTCCGGAGTAGCCGCCGCCAGAGTAGCCGCCTTGCTGATGGATGACCTTGACCACCTGGACGGGACCGCCACCATGACCGCCATGTCCGCCATGTGAGCCGCCGTTGTAGCCCCCACCATAGCCGCCGCCGCCGCCGCCACCATAGCCGCCGCCACCACCGCCGCTGCTGCCGCCCAAGCTGATGCCGGCCTTAAGACCGCCGCCGCCACCGCCACCGCCGACACCACCGCCGCCGCCACCTCCGAGCAGACCGAGGAAGCCAGCGTTGGCCACAGCAAAGAGAGCACACATACAAACGAAGACCTGGTGGGAGAGGCAGAGAGGAGAAGGGTGTAGATATAAAGTGGCTATCCAGGACGTGTGTGTGTAGGGGGCGGGGAACTCGGACTCGGACTCACCTTCATGTTAACTACTATTCCACTTGACTCGATGACAACGATACCAGTACCGAAAGGTTCCTAACGCCTTGAGTGGTGATGCTCTTCAGAGACGACTGATGTCAGATCGAAAGCATCACGACTCTTTTATACGATGATCCGATCCGGCCATACGATGTAAGCGATCATAATGAAGTCCCACAATTCAAATTAGCAACGCAACAAAACAGCATATAACACGATCCGACGCATCCCAGGCCCAAGCCCATCCCCAGACCAAGAGACCCAGACCCAAACAAAGGCATTTCATTAACATTTCCAACGGTTCGTCATCATCGCGATTGGAATCAAATCATCATCATGGGCATACATACATATCATAATCATGCTGAGATGATGCAAAACTCAAGTAGCGAATGGATGTTGCGTTGGAGAAAGAAGTCATCGATAGATGGCTTTCATTTTCACTAAGCCGCACCCAGTTTTTGGCCTCGGGTTCTTCATCTTCATGATACTCTTAATTTCCATTTCCCATTCCTATGTCGGTTTCGTTGGATTCGGTTCCGATTTCTTTCCAGTTTCCAGCCTCGAATTTCGTAAAGCCTTACGTTACGTTAGGCGAAATATGCATTTCCGAAATTCCGAAAGCAGCGGCTCCCACAATTAGCATGAAAATGAACCGAACCGAGCCGAACTGAGACGAGCCGCACTGATGGTGATAAGGCATTGCCTTAAGACAAGGCGGGCGGCATCGACAGCATGTGGCTTTCATATTTCGTTTTGTCATTTGCATAGCCAGAGCCACAGCCACAGCCATAGCGCTTGCCTCATAAGGCGGCTCGCTGTCTGTCCGATTTTGAGCCATTAACTAAAACGAACCCAACCCAACCCAACCCAGTGCAACCCAATGGGCCACAGCCCAAGCACAAGCCCAATCCAATCCAAGACTACCCCATCCACAATCATTGGCTATTTCAAGGTGAATTTAAATCTATCCGAAATCCGTTGTCAACTAGCCAGCCAGCCAACGCCGTCCCATTACTATGATTATGCAAGTGGCTTCTTCTCAGGCGTGTAAAACGCATCATTGTCTATCGAATGATCATAAAACGACAGCGACAACCATAACAAAAAACAAAAACAACAAGATCATCGAATATCAGCCTCTAGTTTGTATTGCTCAATGGGCCACTGTTGAGCCTCCCAGACAGATACTAATGACTGGACTGCCTCTGTAGAGACGCATTCCACACCCAATATAAAAATGCAGAAAACGAAAACTGCAAAATTCCAGTGTCTCCAGAATTTAGACTGCCCCATAAATGAATAATAAATTGATTAAGCAAAGTCTTGAATGAATGGAGATGGGATAAAGATAAAGACAGGAAAGATTATATAATTATGGATTGGATAAATGTTAAGTGTGTTTTTATTGGACTACAATACAATATATATATATATATATAGGTATACATTATGTACCCAAAATGGATGGAGTTTGAATCAGAGTTCGTTCCTTATTTAAATTATGAACTATGTGATTATCTCTCCATCTATCTACGTACTCGTAATGATTAGTTCTATACAACATAATATATATTCTAATCTCTAAGACCGCCATGAAGCATATGCATACTTTGATGACTAGAAGCCCATTTAATTTCGTTGATATCATATCATACAATTTTTCGATGTCTTATAATTTATTAATAGACAAAAAAAGACAAGTCGGTTAAGTTTAGTTAGCGGTCGAGTAGAAGCGGGTGGCACTGCACTTATTTCTGTTTCAGCCAGCCACCGTAGGCCAGGGGAGCATCGTAGACGGCGGCGTGCCCTACACGGACGACGGAAGGAACGGCCACGTTCTCGTACACGGGCACATGACGGACAACGGGCACTGTACGCACCACTGGAACATGACGGACGACCGGTATGGTGCGCACCACCGGGACGGTGCGAACCAGTGGCACGGTAGCCACTGGGGCGTAAGCAGCTCCATGGATGACACTGCTCTGGGACAGGGCCAGGCAGGCGGCGAACAGGAGGCAAGCAATGAAGAACTGAAAAGGAGAGAAGAGGTTTAATCCGGTTGCGTGTCGGTGTAAGGGTAGAGGCTCCAATATCCTGGGGCGATGGGGATGCGCACTCACCTTCATGTTGAGATGTTTGGCTGATTGGTGGTTGCTGGTTGGTGGATGATTTGTGTTGATTTTTTTGGCAGATACCGAGATCTTATATAGCGGTCAGAACCCTGTCGCATCGCTCGAAAGTAGAGTAATAAAACCGGCAAAGAACATAACCAGAGACAGCTACAACTACAACACAACAATGTCTTCGTAAGGCGATATGCTAATTTTAAATCGTATACATACATAAGTAAGATACTTGAGAGGTGGCATTATCATTGCCATTATTAGTGTATAGTGGATACTACCCCGCATTGGTCATTGGTGGCTTGCTTTGACGAACAATGCGAGGCAGCATCATAACTTATTTACGAATGAAATAAAACGCCTTTCAAATGCCAGAACAATGAGAACTTGTTCCTGTCGATTCGAATCGATTCGGCTCAACAGGTGCTGTCAGTGACGCGTGAGCAGCGACACCTATTGCGGGATTTCCGCACTGCCTCCGCGACATGCCCATTGATGAATTCTTTTCAACAGAACAGAACGTGCGAAGGCGCCATGCCTTCGGTTCGGTGTGCCAATTGATTGTCTTTTTTGCTTCCAAATTGTTTTGGGAGCTTGTGTTGTTTTTTTTTTTTATTTTGGCTAAACTTTATTTATGAGCTATTGTTCACGCCCCATTATGCTTTTTGGTTCAGCCAGCAAATCCGCCAAAACGCATGCAAATTTATGCAAATTCAAACGATGCTTCCTCGATTCACTTGGCTTTGGCTTTTCCAAAAACCCAACTCAATGTTTGTGCATATTACATTTTATAGCCAAAACATGTTTTTAAACTGTCTCGTCTCCGTTTTGTTGTTGATATTTTTAAAGATGTTTTCTGCCGTTACACAGCACTGAAACCAAGCCCACACAGCTGTTCGGCTCTGCTCTCTTTTTCACGGTGTGAAATTTTGTTAGGAGGAATGGAATTGCAAAATTAATGCCAAATTTCGTTCTAATAGGCAGGCGCAAGTGAATAAGTAATCAACAATCATATCATAGGCTGTTTTGAGATGCACCATGTCTGGGCACGGTAGCAGCAGGAGGAACAGGCACAGAAACATTTGTAACACCGCCAACATGGCGCACCTGCTCCAATGCTCTTGATGTTGTTGACGTCAACAAAGTGAAATTCGAGTGAGCGGAAAAGAGAAACACACAAAAAGAAGAACAGCCAGTAGAACGTGAAAAGAAAATCGCAAATTGGAGCCGAGCCGCCGAAAAACCTCCACTGGACCACACGCAGAAGGGTACGGTACTCTGAAATGTACTCTGAATGGGCCTCGCTGTCGGCCCAGATTACAGCCAACAGCTGCGGGGCGCAATGCTTCAGCGTGCTGAACAAGTTTCCAGCCTCGGCTGGACGGGAAGTGGTCGTGTCGGTGGTTAAGCAGCTGGGCACCAATCTGGGCATCACTCAGAATGCCGAGCCTAGTCATTTGGTCAAGGATGAGGAGGTGAGTATCAGTTGTCCATAGTTCGAGCTCGGGCACTTGGGTCTGCCAGTGAATCTCACACTCTCGCCTTCCGCTCTACAGGTGAAATGGTGCATGGATGTGATCTGCTTTGGGCTGTCACTGCCCCTGCAAGAGCACGAGACCATCAAGGACTGCGTAAATGTATACTGCGAGTGGCTCACTGCGTTGCATCCACAGCCGCGCATCAGTGTGCCGAAGCCCATATGCGAGGATGCCAATCTGTATGCCCGCCAGATAATCAACCATTTCCACAATCTGTTTGTTCCGCGCCAGGGCGAAAGTAAGTATATCATTGCCGCGATCAGGCCACCCGATCCGCTGTCTATTGCCGCCATTGCCTTTAAAATGTCCACTCCACAGTCTTATGTATTAATCCCCATCTAAATTTCAAGTCTTGCCATTTCTATACCAAACCACGCTTGGTAGGTTGCTCTTTTACGTACACTGCATTCGATGCCGCCTTAGAGGATGGATACTGGACGTGACTAATGCATTCCTTTTGCTGCCCATTTCCAGGTGCCGACACCATCAAGCGGCAGGCGGTGCTCTGTCATCGGGTACTGCGTACTCTGCAGCAGACTGCGCAGATTTCGCAGCAAATGGATCGTCAGACTTGGGACACATTGCTGCTCTTCCTTTTGGCCATTAACGAAATTCTACTGGCGCCGCCCACCGTCAAGGACGATGTGGGGGATCAGCTGTGCGAGCGTGTGCTCTCCGTGCTCTTCGAAGTGTGGCTGCTGGCCTGCGTGCGCAGTTTCCCGTCGCCTTCGATGTGGAAGACGCTACAGGAGTCGTGCTCCATGTGGCGGCATCGCGTGGCCCTTGTCGATCAGTGGAATCGTGTCAACTTGGCCCTGACGTCACGACTTCTCGAGTTCAGCTACGGACCAGCGTTTCCCCAGCTCAAAAATGGTTTGTGGCGCTCATTGGTGGGGAAAGGTTCGTCTTCTCTGGCAATATACTAATGTAGCTCTCTCTGCAATCCACAGCCGACGAGGATGGCCAGCTGATACCCCTTGGCATGTCGAACGATTGTGTGGCCCAGACATGGTATCGCTTCTTGCGTATGATCGGCAATCCCACGGCGCTCTGCTCGCCGCACATCATCAGCAAATCGTCGCACTTCGTGCAGTGGGCACTCACCCACGAGAAGGGGGCCGAGACACACCAGCATCCGTGTCTGCAGATGCTGCCGCAGATCTTTCTCAATGCGATGAAGGGCATCTCCAGCCAGGTTGATGCGTTTCTGGGTAAGATCCGAGCCGAACTTCACCGACTTCTCCCATCGATAGGCTTCAGTAGCAAATAGTTTTGTGGTAGGCTAGCAGCCCAGTATTTCTCTATCTCTCTCTCTCTCTCTTTCTTTCTTGTTCGTTTGTTCATCTCTTGCTTATCTAACCCAAAAAACTTGTATCTAAAACGAAAATCGAAAACCGCTGTTTGAGTAGGCGTTTATCAGCCGCCGCCACATCAAACGGATAGTGTCGTGACGAATCTAATGGAAATACGGCACTCGCTGAACGAGGCCACCTCCTCCACGCTGCAGCAGTTCATCCACTCGAGCAGCGCATCGAATATATCGGCAAATAGCCAGCAGCAGGGCTCCGCCGCGCAACAACTGCAGCTCCAGCTCCAGCATCAGCATATGCATCACCACCATCATCTACACTATCCGCACTTGCATTTACATGGCGCTGGCAGCTTCCTGCGCGACAATTTCATGAGCAACTCGGCCAGCTCTGCTCTGAATGCCATCATGGGTCATCACAGCCACCATCAGCAGCATCAGCAGACCCACCAGCAGCAACAGCTATCACTCTCCCAGAGCGGAGCCTCGCCTACGTCGACCGCTGCCTTAGTTGCCAGTAATTTGGGACACTCGATGGGGGCCTCTGCCGTTGGAAGCACCAGCGCTGGTGGTAGCCATTCGGCCGGAGTCGTCGGCAGCATATCCTTTAGCACGACTGAGGCTAACCTGCCATCGACGGGTGTCTCCAGCACGCCCACACCTCCGCTACAGCGACGATTGGCCAAGAGTTTTAGCGTGGCGCCCACCATAACGCAGCAGAAGGGTGCGAACTCGTCTTTAGATCCTCTAGAATGTTGTACTAAATGTTTTTATAGCAGTAGCTTGGCAGAAAGTATTACAAAGTCTATGGATTTGATATTGAGTTGTAAGACATCCATGCTTGGTCTCCACAATCGAGTTATCGGATTATTCGATGGGATTGTTAAGTCAGAAATTAAAAAGAGATCGTTCTGTATTAATCAATCTTTGCCAATGCTGGAGGACTTTAGGCATACCAAATCAAATCTTTTTTTCTGTCCGAATCGCAATCCTGATGTAGTACATGGAAATGTGATGTATCCAGTATCCGTTCTTATATTTTTGTATTCAAAGAAACGTTAACGATCAAACAGATTGTATTTAGGATTAAATATTATTGTATAGTCCAGAATATTCCGTGCAACCGATGGTTCGGTAATCCATAATATTCAGGGACTCCTAATAATCTATAATAACGATTTTCAATCTATATGATGTCTTCATTAGCAAGAGCTCAATGGTTTAACTGGATGCATATATCAATATATAATATGTAATACTGCTCTGCCAGGGTATTTGGGGCTTCGGTTCACCGAAGAAATTTTAATTTCTGGTGCCTTTAACTTGCTTTGCGTTGATTTGATATGTGTGTTTGCTTGCCTAGATTGTTGAGTTAATCCTCCATTAATGTATTCGCCATTAGCTCCCAGATCAGTTCATGTTTCAGCTTCAGCTTCTGCTCAGCTCGACGATGACACGAGAGCACCTTGCCTCAGGGCACACCGAGCACAGAGCACCGCGCGCCGCGCACCGCATGCACGTTTTGCATTTAAGTTTTTGTATAATTTGTTCCGTAGCATGAGTGGAATAATCTGTGTGTAATTGCTCGGAGCGCGACTGGATGTGGAGTGGATGGGATGGGATGGGATGTGTTTGGGAATGGCTGAGTGGAAGAGTAACTGTTTCCATTTTCCAACTGCCATTGAGTACACTGCCGCCATCACATCACATCGCATCGCATCGCATCAGATTCACAGGCCAGGCCAGACCAGGCATAATATGCATTGTAATTTATCTATTGTACGCCCACAATTAATGCCAACCACGTTGCATGTGTGCCACTGGCAGTGGCATCGGACAGTCTATGTTCATATCTCCAATGACTCCTCTCCTCTCCGACTATGACTCTGCCTCGCTACTACTAATTTCTCACACTTGCTCTGCTCTACTCTACTCCACTGCTCTCTGCCCAACACGCACATTCCAACCAACAACCAACACACACGAATGCTTTGTGCAGGCTTGAGCAAAACCTCGCTTATCGGCCTCACGGGGGGCGGTGCACGCAATGCGATCGGCAGCAGCAGCAGCAGCAGCAGCTACATCCACAGCAGCGGCTCGACGAGCGCTGGCCCCGTCCAAGGCACGGGTGGTGTTGCCGCTGCCCCTGGCAGTGGCATTACTACTGCCACTGGCGCTGGCACTGGCTCCGGTTCTGGTGGCCAGGCACCGGCTCCAGCTGCGGCTGCGGCACCCACAACGCCAACATCGACATCGGGTCCGCCCTCGGCGAGCAGCAGCATCAACTGTAAGTGTTGTGCGAAACATTTGTCGCTTCCGAAACAATCTAACACAGATGTTTTCCCCTACCTTTCTTTACCCCTCTCTCCTTCCCTCTCTCTCTCAATCTGTCCCTTTCTTTCTCTATCGCCCTCTGCACTGCCGCCCCTGTTGCTCTGTTTTGCGTTGTAGCTCTGCCGCTGACATCGATGGGAGCTGGCGTTGAGCTGGCGGTGGCGCGGCCCAAGTGTAACAGCATTCTCCACGTATTCCACGAGTGGCTGTTCGAGGCAGCGCACATAGGTGGAGATACCTGGCGCCAGAACCGCAAGAGTAAGTGGACCCTGCGGCAGCAGCTGGATGAGTTGCTGCTAGATATCTTAACCTTTTTCCGTCTCGCACACAGAACAGGCATGCGAAGCCAGTAAGCGGCCATCGTCGATGATAATGGAGCACCGCAAGGGTTCAATATCGCTATCCCAGCCCAACTCTCTGAACGATCCGGCCTCGCTGCCACCCACGCTGACCATCGATAAGTACGAGTCGGGCAGGGCCGAGGCCATTGGTACACTTTGCAAGATATTCTGTGCGAAGAAAACCGGCGAAGAGATACTGCCGGTCTATTTGGCCCGCTTCTATATGGCCCTCCAGCAGTGCCTAAAGATCACCGAGTCGAAGGAGTGCGACGAGACGCTGGCCAGCATTCTGCTGCATTCGGGTGATCTCTTTCGCCTGGACCTGGATGGGATCAATGTCCTGCTGCCGGGCTTCATAGCCGCCCTAGAGATTGTGCTGCCCGACAAGGATCTGAAGCTGAAAACGCAGTCAATGGCATTCAACCGGACGGAGCTGCGGCGCTCGGCCATCAACATACTGCTGTCGATAATGGTGCTGCCCCTTCACTACCAGTCACTGCCCATTCGAGATCTGTCCAGCGAGACGAGCGAGAAGTAGGTGAAATGGCAAACAAAGGAGTCCCATCCCTTTTATCCTTTTCTGTTCTTCTCTTTTAGGATGTTCACGTTCATCCAGCTCAAGTCGCGACTTATGAACATTCTGATGAACGCTCTGCAGGTGGAGACAGATGCCCAGAACACACACATGCTGCTGGGCGGCCTGCTGTTGTGCGTCCAGGATGCCGTCACCTTCGAGGAGACCGATCTGGGCGGCGGCGGCTCTGGCTCTGGCGCCACTCATCTGCACAACTCCGGCGGTGCCCAGCACCAGCACCATGAGGCCAATCTCCTCAGCTCGGGTAAGGTTGCGGACTGAAGGGCATCTCGATCTGCATCTGGGTCAGCAATTAACTCTGGATTTGATTTTTAAAATTTTTTTTATTTAATTGCCAATTTGTTGTTTAATTTTTTTTTTTTTTTGCATTTTTCGTGATCTTTTTGTGTTGATTTTTTGCCGCCGGCTGTGGTGACGAACACCACGAACAGGTTGCTCGGAGCGTTCCGCTTCGCTGGTCAGCACCGGCACGGCCAGCTTGGGGGCCCAAACGACGGCCACCATGGGAGCTGGCTCGGGCTCCATACGCGACACGGCCTCAGCCCACGATTATCCAAGTTTGACCATCTCCGATGACATGTCATTTGAGTTTGGCCAAGAGCTGGAGGGCGTGACCACATATGGTAAAGAGATTTATATTGTTTTTTGTGTTCGTTCGGTTCTGTGAAGTCAAAGGGATCCAATCTGATGTTAGTCAGGTTTTGTTCCTTGCAATACTCGTAATTTTTGTTTTATCGATCATCAAGTGCTCATCATATCTACAATATCTACATATGTATATGTTACTCTGATGTTCACACTACATTTTACTACAAATATTAAACCGAATCTTTCAGATAATGCCCATGCCTTGTTCGTGCGTGCCACGTATTTGGTCTGCCATCGGCTCATCTCGTCGTGGAAAACGGACTTAAATGTCTCACTGGCGGCCCTTGAGCTGTTGTCCGGCTTGGCCAGGCTCCACATACGGGAAACAGGTAGTGTGCTCCTCCTCTCTAATTAAGTGTGCATGATGGTTTTGGTGTACTCATTCCCTTGCAAAGGCATAATGTTCTATCTAAGAAAATTTATATTTATGGCCGTTTGTCCGTCTACCAACTATTCTCTCGGGCCACTCGGCAGACTGTAAGGATTATGTATTGATATACATTGTTACTATTCCATTCTTAGGGCTTTTTGTCTCTGGTTGTACAATAGTCAATATTCCATAAAGTTGTTCCATAAACAATGCCTATGTATCCGATCCGCTAGGCAGGGCTTACTTGTAATTAGGTTATTTATAGCATTGGATCTTGAATGAATTTTCAAGGGAATTCGAAGTCGCGGCCCAGCCGTGGCTATTCTTCCTTTTCTGGTGTTAATGTCGTTGTTTTCTGTCGTCTTTTATTTGTTGTACCTTGGTTTTCGGATTATATCGTATGTGCGTACTCTTGTCTACCTCGTATCTTAACTGTAAAACCACCGCTCGCTACCCCGTACCCGCTACCCGCTACCCGCTAACCTCCTTTAAACCGAACCCCAACCTTAACCACCTTAACCCCTGACTGTGCCTGTGCCAACTTTTGCTTTTGTGATTTCTATGCGGCAGCCAGGAAGTTTACAAATGGTAATTGATTGAAAAGCTAACAAACCTAACTAACGCCACTTTTTCTGTCTTTCTTTCTTTCTTTCGTTTTTTTTTCGATGCGCCATCTAACCCTACCTACCCAATACCCAAAACCCTATACCCAATACCCAATACCCTATACCCAATACCCAATACCCTTTACCCAATTCCATCTCGCAACCGACCGAAACCGAAAAACTCATCTACAATCGATAATCGCAATTCGTTTTTTTCTATATATTTCGTTTGTATCTCCTGCGGGACACCCAAACACCACAAACCACACACAAAACAATGTATATAACATTAAAAAAACACCTGAACCCACCTGAACCACACAACACCACATCACCCACACCCACCTTAGACACATTAGTGAAAATATACGAAGCTAGTCAGAATCTAACGATAATCTCCTCAGACGCTCTAGAGTGCAAGCGGGCCGTCAAGTGGATCTGCGACTACATATGTTATCAGTGCTCGAGGCCGCCGCCGGCCCACAGCAAGGATCTGCACAGCACGATTGTGGCTGCCTTCCAGTGCACCGCAGCATGGCTGATGCAGCATCCGTATCTGCTGCAGGATAAGGACTGCCTGCAGACAGTTCTGGAGGTGGTTGAGCTGGGCATATCTGGCACCAAGAGCCAGAGCAAAAGCGGCGATATACCCAAGTTCAAGGATGAGAAGGAGCTGAAACCGGCCTCCATGAGGGTGCGAGACGCAGCCGAGAATCTGCTCACAATCATACTCGAACAGGTCGGCTATTTCCCAAGCGAGTGCGGCCCCGAGTCCATATCCTCCCTGCTCGATGAGCTGGCACTGATGAAGCACTGCAACTCGATGGTGCCGGCGGCGGCGGCCAGCACCGAGCAGGCAATTGCCAAGTTCAAGTATTTTGTGACGGAGAACTCGACGATATTGGCCCTGCTCGAGGAGCCGCTGGGCAACGATCAGGACCCACAGCCAACAGTGACACGTAAGTGATTACTCCTTCAAGTCCAAGCGGCATGAAATTACCCGAAGCAAGCCTCTTTACTCAAATTCTGTACATATCTATGTCCGTTTTGACAGTGCTGATACGTGGACCATTTGGACGACATGCCTGGACCATGCAGCTGCGGCATCTTCCACGCAGTAAGTCGGGCATCAAGTACCACGCCGTCAATCCTGGTCGGCCCATTCCTATGAACGATATTAGCCAGAGACCCGAGTGCGAGCAGAAGAACTTCCCCGACGGCGTTGACAAGGTGCAGCCCTGCGTGGCCGACTATTCCATACCCACTATCGAGCAGATTCGCGAGCAGTATGGATCCGGGAGCATCAGGGAGCTGGAATTGATCCTCGAGAACCAGAGCATCCATGAGAAGCTGGCCTGGGCGGAGGCCGATAACAGTGTGGACAGTCTGTCGCATTCGCAAGAGTGCGTGCCGCCGTTGGTGTGCCAAGAGTTCCATGCCGCACGGCTTTTCCTATCTCATTTTGGATTCCTCACATTCGAGACGCGCAATCCACACAATCCAGCGGAGTCGCTGGGAACACCGCCTCAGCGGCCCCTCATTGTGCTGGACACCAAGTCGACAGCATTTGCCGCCGATCTGGACAGGCTGGATAAGCTCAGTGCTCGCACCCATGATACCGTCTATGTGTTCTATGTAAAGGTGGGAGACAATCTAAATTTCCATTAATTAATGACCGTTTAAACGATTTATTTCATTGGTAATATTCAGACGGGTCAGACAAGTGCCCAGCAAATAATTGGCAATATGGTGGAGGAGCCCTCCCTAACCTACGATCCGCACTTTGCCGGCATGCTGCAAACCCTTGGCTGGCCGGTGCTGGTGGCCGATCACTCTGGCTGGACGGGCTTTGCCCACAACTCCTGGTCGCTGAAGGGAACGCCAGAGGAGCAGCATCAGCAGCATCAGCTGCAGCAGCAGCTGCAGCTTAAATCCAATGTACCCAGCGAGCTCAATTATAATGGATCGCAGCGTGTGCTCTACTGGGCGGATGTCTCGTCGGAGATTGCTTTCGTTGTGCCGACCACTTGGAATCTGCGCTACAACAGCGACATTAGCGATGGCGCCAGCATAGCCAACAGTGATCAGATCGGATCGAGCAATGTGTGGGCACGTTGCGAGTCGGATACGGGAACTGGTCCAGCCAAGTCCAAGCCGCGGAATCTCAGCTTAGAATTGGAAACGGCCACCGGCACCGGTACCGGTACCGGTCGCACGCAAAAGGAGCCTGTGCCGCCAACGAGACGCAAAGGGAACGTAACCAAGCCGACGCTGCTCGCTCAGGCGCCTGCCAAGATCTTCCTGGTGTGGCTGGAGAGCTACGAGGACTATCTGAACTTCCCGCTCGAGGATCTTCTTGCCTACACCCGCACCGGCGAGGAGCTGCACTCGCTCCAGCAACCCAGGGCCGCCGACTGTCATGTGATCTTCGTGCACTCGCTTCTGTCGGGACTATTAAGGGTCAAACTGCAGGGTCCACCCGGTCGGATGAGCTTTGCCACGCCCCTAGTCGATGGCATGGTGCTGAGTCGGCGCGTCGTTGGCAATCTGGTTCGTCAAACGGCCCTAAACATATCCCGACGACGGCGACTGGACAATGATAAGTAAGATTGAGTGACAATGTCTTGAAATGCAATTAAATGAATCGAATTATAACTGTCTGTTGCAGCTACCAACCGCCGCATGTGCGACGGCGATTGAAGGTGCAGGACATTGTCCAGAAGTACAAAATGGACTTGAGCGAGGCCGAGCTGTTGGCCCATCTGTTCCAGCGTGCAATTTAGCCGGCATTAACATCACAAGTATTTACTAACCTAGGATTAACACCACCACCAAAATGGCTTGTCCATGCCTGTATTATCGTGTGCTTAACTAAAACGTACCAACCAGCAAAAGGCAATCGGTATGGGACTCACTGCGAGAGTCCGAGCATTTATGGACGGACTCTTGTTGATATTCTAATGTGTATTACTACTTTTTTTTACTAATAAATCGAATTATTGTACTTTTGAAAAGTATTTAAAACTAGTACAGATCTATCTGAAACGATCAACAGATCTATCTGAAACAATCAACAGATCATAATCATTCGCGCAACCATTCATGTCTTGGGCAACCTTCTTTCATCTGTGAAGAGGAAACAAAATAAGTGGGTCAAACATCCGAAATCAATTTGGCCCACGGCTGTGTGACACACAGATGAGAAGATCGCATCGTGAGCGAAGTGAAAGTAAAAAAAAAAAGAAACATTTGGATGTGAATGGTACGTACAGACGTTTGAAGATGCATGATGCATGTAAATCGTTTTATAAATCAATAGAATCGTTATACTTACGCACAAAAATGATGAGTAATGGTTTTAATGGGAATGAAATGAATGTGGGACATCCTCAAGTTATGTCGGAGACCAATAAGGGCCATGTATAGTATGTAGATTTCTGAGTGAGTAATCCTATCAAATGGATGTCAATTAGTGGTGCTTCTTGCCTTCAAAAAGTAAGTACTTCAAGCTGAACCTACACGTGTTTGTTTGGAAGGTCGTGAGGTATCTCACAGCGCCATTGCACAGTCGTAGACCTGCGTGGAAACTTCCCCTCTTTGGAATTGGGCTCGGTATTGAACACACAGTTGGGACCACAGTTCGCAACGCCTTCGCCGGTTAATCAATTCAAACTGTTGCTGGGGCTGGGGCTGAGGGCCATCATTGACCAATGAAAGTCGTGATATAATGATATAAGAAACCATTTGAATTGTGGGGAGGGGAGCCCCCACAACAAGTTACAGATCTTCGTTTTGTTTTGCATTTCGTTGATTTTTCGTATTTATTTATTAACAAATAATTTAATTTAACAATGAAGAGGCCCATTGGCCCATGGGAGTTTTCTTTTCATGATTGTTTTTGTTTTTCTACTAGCCTATGAAAAAAAATATAATAGATAGTTGACAGAAAAAAAAAACTAATTTGGTCTAGCTAACTAAGCCGGTAGAGAGAGGCAGCTACCAGGCAGAAGGGGGGCTACCGCTGCTCCAGCCGCTGCTGGCAACGGAGCCACCACTGCTCCAGCCACTGCTGGGAGCGGAACCACCGCTGCTCCAGCCGCCACCCCCATGGGAGGAACCACCATTGCTCCAGCCACTAGCAGCTGCACCAGACTGAACCTGTTGCTGCTGATTGTCCTGGACACGCATCACCTTCAGAGTCCCGCGCTGCACAACGTGGCCGCTCTTAAAGAAGGCGCCCTGTGCCTGATCGGCCTTCATGATGATGGCATTACCCTTGCTGCCGAAAGCATTGATCAGCTGCCCGTTAATGGCACCCAAATCGGCTGAGCCGCCGCCGCCACTACCGAAGGCGTCCTCTTGCAACACCAGCTGGAGAATCTGTGGCAGGATGGCATTAAACTGCTGCACATCGTAGGAGGAGGAGCCGCCATAGCCATGTCCAGAAGCGTAGGACTGTCCATAGGAGTGGGACGAGTGACCCTGGCCATAGGAGTAGCCACTGCCGCCGCCGCCGCCGCTTACTGCATGGTAGGCAACTGGAGATGAGACTGGGATCGGAGCCGGGGCTTGCTCTATAACTTTAAAGATCTGTTCCTGCTGACCGCCATAGGAGCCGTGGCTGTGGCCGTGACCATGGCCGCTGGCATAGCCCTGTCCATAGCTGTGTCCACTAGCCGCGATGCCGCCAGCTGATCCGCCAGCATTGCTGTAGCCTTGGCCCTCTTGCAGAATGACCTTGATGATCTGGGCTGAGCCTCCGCCACCGCCGCCTCCATGGGAATAGCCATGGCTATGAGCATATCCGTGTCCGCCACCACCACCACCGCCGCCGCCACCACCTCCGCCGCCATGACCTCCTCCTGAGCTGGGCGTGGCAATGACATTGTATGTGGTCTTACTTCCTCCACCGCCACCGCCGCCTCCTCCTCCGCCACCGCCTAGTAACGACAGGAAGGTGGCATTGCAGGCACAGACCGTGGCCAAGAGACAGATAAAGACCTAACCGTCAGATAGAGTAACCGTTCCGTTTAGTATATATCCGTTTAGTTCGTTATCCAAATTCCGGCTAGTGATCCACTCACCTTCATGTTAGCTAAACCGTTGACTCCGTCCGAGATTCTCTATTTGTGTGTGTGGGGTGTGGAAGGAACACCTGTGCGCGTCGGGCTGTTCCCGGGAAGTGAATGATGCCAGCTTCGAGCTTCCCGAAGCTTTTATACATAGATCGGATATGGGTTTCCCATTGCCCACATTGCCCACTCCCGTTAGAGGCGACGCAACCCGCGAGAGATGGCGATGGCGATGGCGACGGCGACGGCGATGGAGAGATGTGTGACGTCAGCTGCCGTCGTAGGCTACTACGAGTAGTATCTCTGCTGCTCTTGCAACTCACATGAGATGTTTGAGCACACGCACGCATCTGAATGGGAGGCCCTCCTCCATTCATACAGGGTGTTGTGTTCGCTCTCTTTTACTCAATGAAAGCTGTAAGCATTCTGCACTGGTGCACACCACTCTGTGAAATGCGTTAAGATAGCAACGAGAGGTTAATAATAACATTGCTTGTCGATAAGACACCCTTTACCAGTGCCGTCGTCTTCATCTATTTCTTCAATGGCCAAATAATATGCAACACTAACAACGCCGGCGGACAAGCAAACAAATAACAAAAACTACAAGAAGATAACACCAGCATAGGGTGACCGATCGGGGGGCTGGCTTCGTGGGTCAAGCAGGGCAAAGGCGGCCCCCCTTAGCATATCCCAATATCAAGCCGACGCGACGTCGACGGTGACGACGACGGTGGCGGAGACCGCAACCGCGACTGACCGGCTCTTTGCATACGATTATCGATTTGGGCGCTTCGTTGGCTCTGGTAGGCTAACGACCATCAAGTCGGATCGGATCGGATCTTCAGCTGCCTCTTGGGTCTCTCGGATTGCAACAGCTCTTCGTATGCTCAGGCATACATACATTTGTGTCGATTGGCCCAATCTCTAGCGCTCTCTGGGAAACAAACGAATTGGCACCGGACCGGAGTCGAGTCGTCAGCCGGATTATTATATCATGCAACATAATTTGAAATTTGTTAATTTTGTGTGCATTTTTGTATAAATTATTTAATGCGCGTTGTTGCGCATGTTACCCCGACCCCAGACCCAGACCAGACCAGACCTTGTCATGCCCTCAGACCCAGTAGTCTCTTTGGCTCTTTTCCTCGATTTGCTGATGACCCGTTACCTGGTCGTTTTTCATGGCGGGTTCGGGTTCGGTTTCGGTTTCAGCTTCATCTGAAGACCATCAAAGGCAGCAATAACAGCACACAACTTTTAAAGCGATCGGCATTTTAGCACCTTGTTGTTTCTGCGTTAAAGCTGTTTCGAATGCCGGTTACAAAGCATCGCTAGTGTTGGGGCAGGCCAGCCCCAGCCGGGTATCTGAATGGAAATCGGAGTGATTATAATGAGGATGATTTGACGTGGTGTGTGCAAATACTTTGGCTGATCAATGGCCCATGGGCCGGTCAGCGCAGAGGCTTGACTCACCTTATGCAACAGCGTTTGTCATATACATATATTTAAATGTGTCTATTTAAATGTTTTTTGACCAAATTCCTTACGCGATATAATTTCGAATACCCCCGGTATGATGAAGTTGGTATTTGTATCATATAAATGGCGCAAAGACGAATTCCAGTCAAAATATTATCTAGTGTTCATTCTTCAAAAGGTTGAATCTCTACGAACGAAGGCGGCCATTCATAGTGGCCACGACCTGGAGATTCATAGGGTTCAACGCTGCAGCGTCACATTTCCGTTGACTGGTTCTCTTTCCGCAACTCCCATTGTGGCCTCTTGTCGGTCTCCTATCCACGCGTCACACTGCCGGTTAAGTCGAACTTGCGTGCCAATTTCCGTAAGTTCTGACCGGATGAGCGCACCAGGAGCACCAAAATGCGGATCTCCAAGAGGTAGAGCAGAAATTAATCCATTCAATGGATTTGCAAGTGGTTGAGAAAACTGCAGCACAGGATTTAAGCAAATAAACAGAAACAGAGTCAAATGGAATCTAAAGCTAGGAGTTAGGACGACTTACCAATGTGTCCGGCGGATGTACGTGGTGCTATTGAGCCCTTGAAAATCAATTTCAAAGTGTGCTGACCTATTAAGTGATTGAATTACTTTCGGTGCCATGCATTCTTCTGCTCATTTGAATGGAGCGATACCTCTACAATCTACGCGTTAAAGCCGCTTTGTAATTGAGATGGTAGATGGGTTAAAAGAAGCACACAAACTATACATAATATACTTATAGAATAACACGGTGTGACTTATCTGGAAGCCCCCAAGCCAGTGTCAGCCAGTTGACAATGCTTCTGCTGATCTCATCCTGCCGTCAAAGGCATTTGATCTAGGCGTTTATAGTTCTTCTGTAAAAAGAAGGGCATACAAATTGTAAACTTCAATTAAATGCACTTACTTGGCGGTAATCCACTTGGTTGGGGTGCTCTTGTGCTCCCGCTGCTGCTGTACCCAGCTAGGCCATGTTCCCTTTTCCGTCACCTTAAGTCGCATGAAAATATGAAGCCTGGCATGTGGGTTCATGGGTGTCCGATGCTATTTTACATACATTAATACAAAGAAAGACTTCTACCCCGAAAAAAAAACACATTAATTAATTGAATACAGATGTATTTTCAACACGTTAAGTTGACTGCTAGATATACATTTTTGAATGTAAATTGATTCTGCTGGTGACGAGTATCAAACTCGGCTAACAGATCACTATAGGATAGTATGGCGTCCTCAATCTGACGGATCTGAGTCCAAGTTTTTTCAGATTCCTTGATTACTTTGGCGCTCGCCAAACAGTAGGGACACTGGCGAAAGTCCATTAGGTTAGCTTCCTGTGGGCACATGGGGTGTTAGAACATAATCAACCAAAGGAAAATATAATAATAATAATGTTCTCCGATAGCAGATCGGATCCGATATCCTCCTCTTTTTTCTCCGCATTGTTGTTGGCGTCCACGTACAAGCATTTCTTGTCGACCTGTTTCTTAGGACTGTTACGTTGCGCGGCGATATTCCGTTAAGATTCCCGTAGATTGAGTTCAGACGGGCGAAAATTGAATTCCGTTGTACAAATTCCTCGATTGATATTCCATCGTATATTAATAGCTAGATAGCACATTTAGCCATGCCATCATAATTTTATACGATTGATGAATATATTTTCTATTTAACTGGTGTATTCTTAATACTTGCTTATATTGCATTTTGGGTAAAAAGAGGTTTTAGCGAAATAAGTCAAACAAAAAACAAGTAGCGAAATAGGTCAATCAAAACAAACGAAAAAGTAAATTGCTCAATTTTCATATTCCATTGAATAATGCTGACTAACTAACTCTCAGCAATGCCCACATAGTTTTATCCCATTGATGAATAAATTTTCTACAAGATTGAATAGTTTTTTATCCTAAAAGCAAGGATTGTATTTATTGTAAAAAAAGGTTTAAACGAAAAAGTTCAACAAAAAAAAGAGTCGCTATGTTGCGTGTCGTCCTTTGTATACCCTATTTTGTTAATTTTATATGAAGGTATAAATATTGATATGAAGATAAAACGTAACTAATAAAGACCTTTTCTCAAATTTACATTCTTTAGACATATTCATGTATATGAAATTATCATATCATCAAAATCTCGACTTCGAAAATGAGGCCGATTTTTGGCAAATTTAATGATGTAACCATCATGATTTTTTGCGAAAATCGTGAAAAAAGTGATGTCCTTTTTTCTGATGGCAGTCGATTGGCAGGACTCTCGCGATCACGAAAAGCCATGCCTCGCCCGGATCGGCCACTGCTTATCCGAGATATAGCTTACAGAAAAAACCAGTATTTCAAAGATATGCAAATCTAAATCTTCAGAAGGCTTTATCTCAGACAAATAGGGCCAGATCGACGAAGGACTAACTGTCCTAGGATCGCGAGGATCCAGACTGTCGAACGGCATTAAAATCTCGACATCGAAAATGAGGCCGATTTTTGGCAAATTTAATGATGTAACCATCATGATTTTTTGCGAAAATCGTGAAAAAAGTGATGTCCTTTTTTCTGATGGCAGTCGATTGGCAGGACTCTCGCGATCACGAAAAGCCATGCCGCTTTCCGATCGGGTGCCGGATAGCGGAAATATAGCCTACGGAAAAACCAGTATTCTAATGAAATTCAAAATCAAAACCTTCGGTGGCTATATCTCAGACAAATAGGGCCAGATCGGTGAAGGACCAACTGTCCCAGGATTGCGAGGATCCAGACTGTCGAACGGCATCAAAATCTCGACATCGAAAATGAGGCCGATTTTTGGCAAATTTAATGATGTAACCATCATGATTTTTTGCGAAAATCGTGAAAAAAGTGATGTCCTCTTTTCTGATGGCAGTCGAATTGCAGGACTCTCGCGATCACGAAAAGCCATGCCTCGCCCGGATCGGCCACTGCTTATCCGAGATATAGCTTACAGAAAAAACCAGTATTTCAAAGATATGCAAATCTAAATCTTCAGAAGGCTTTATCTCAGACAAATAGGGCCAGATCGACGAAGGACTAACTGTCCTAGGATCGCGAGGATCCAGACTGTCGAACGGCATTAAAATCTCGACATCGAAAATGAGGCCGATTTTTGGCAAATTTAATGATGTAACCATCATGATTTTTTGCGAAAATCGTGAAAAAAGTGATGTCCTCTTTTCTGATGGCAGTCGAATTGCAGGACTCTCGCGATCACGAAAAGCCATGCCTCGCCCGGATCGGCCACTGCTTATCCGAGATATAGCTTACAGAAAAAACCAGTATTTCAAAGATATGCAAATCTAAATCTTCAGAAGGCTTTATCTCAGACAAATAGGGCCAGATCGACGAAGGACAAACTGTCCCAGGATCGCGAGGATCCAGACTGCCGAACAACATCAACAGCATCTCGGATCGGCCGCTGCTTACTCGAGATATATGTAGCTTACAGAAAAAACCAAACAATCCTACTAAGCAATCGATGTTAGCCATTAAGAGCTTATAGATAAAGATCTGAGCAGCAATGGTCCTACCATCCTAGAGCGAGGATAGATGCAGGAGGCAAAATCTGCGAACTTTCAGGATTAGATCCCAGGCTCTTTGACTCTGGCGCTCGGTTATTATCCTGTCATCATGAGCCAGCCCTGACGCCCATTCATACGCCGCCGAATCAAACACTGTTCTACAGCTTCAAAACGCGTAAGTGAATCAGTCTACAATTGAGGACATATTTTAAACTATATCTTCCTTCACAGAGAAAAGGATATGACAAAAGGAGTCATATTCAAGCATTACCGACGCGTCTTCGAGACAGAGCGAACAGGACTTTGACTATGGCGACCAAGGGAGAGGCTACGCGGGCTACTAGATTCTAGGTTGATATCCTTGCTGTTAGGTTTAAGGATATACGAGTCTATTCATTTAGATAGTAGATACAAATGTTTTCCACTTGTATATTTATACTAAGCTAAGTTTTGATGAATAAAACTATTGAATAATCATTCTTGTTGTATCCTTTATGGGGGAAACGATCCCGATTACAAAAAGGCTTGGCACGCCCAGGTCGGTTTTTATTGAGGAAAATGTCTTTGATCCTTGATAAGGGCTCCAACAAATCAGGGACACTTTTTCGGTAGCAGAAAGCCATCGCACGCCCAGATCGGCCCACAAATAGCCGAAAAAACTGAATATGCATGGTTGGGGTTGTTGGTCCGGGGCCCACAAATAAGGTCCTTGGTCCGTGATAAAGACTCCATCAAATCAGGGACATTTTTCCAATTACAGGAAGCCGTCGCACGTCCCGATCTGGTCGAGATATAGATAAATATATAGGGCTGGGGATGCTGGAATCCCTACCGAAGGATCAAGGACATTTTCGTGGTCACGTGGGGAAATGGCTCGCCCCGATCGGCCCACAAGTAAGTGAGAAAACAAGATATACATGTCTGGAGAAAATATCCTTGATCCTTGATAAGGAATGCATTGCCTCAAGGAAGCTATTACGAACACAGGGAGGCGTCGCACGGCTATGTCGGGCCACACATAACGGAGAAAACAAGAAAAGTTGTTGTTGTCAGTTGTTGTACAAACATTTTTTGTTGTTGTACAACAACAACCCTCAAATGGTCAAAAAAGAGAATTTCGAATTCGTGGGATACCACGCGAACAGAATGCAGCAGAAGGTCGCTATTTTAGCCATTTGAGCGGCCACAGAAAATTAGAAAACATTGCATACTTTTGGGAGGTAAAAAACGAAAAAATACAATCAAAAAAAAAACTATCGACCTTCTGCTAATTTCTGTTCGCCTGGTATCCGAGATCTGAAATATTCGATTTTAGCCATTTGAGAGGTCGCAGATTGAGAATAGACTTATGTATATATCTTGTTTTCTTCCTTATTTGTGGCCCGATCGGGACGGGTCATGGCCCACCGTGATTGGAAACATCTCCTTGGTCCTTCGTTAAGGACTACAATAGCCCCAACCATACTTATTAACTTTTCTCGGCTATTTGTGGGCCGATCGGGACGTGCGGTGGCTTCCTGTGATCGAAAAAAAGTCCCTGATTTGATCGAGTCCTTATCAAGGATTAAGGAAATTTGCCCCAATAAAAAATGTTTAGTTTTCTCCGCTTTTTGTGAACCGATCTGGGCGAGCCACGCCTTTTTGTAATCGGGATCATTTCCCCCATACTGGATAAAGCAAGGATGATTTTTCATAAAGTTTTATTGATCGAAACTTAGCTTAGCATAAATAATAAGCAAGTGGAATTATTTGTATCAACTATCCAAATGAATGGATGCGTATATCCTTAAACCTAATACCGATATCTACCTAGAATCTAGTAGCCCCCTTGGATGCCATAGTCAAAGTCCTTGTTGTCGATAGTCGGGTCGAAGGATGACGATTGCTTGTTAGGTTCGGATCTTGCAAGGGGTGCGTTTCTCCCCTGTTGGGATACGATTCTGTCTGGCTGGGATGGGACTCGGTCTGTCTCGAATACGCCTCGGTAATGCTTGGATAAGACTCCGTCTAAAACGCATAATACTTCAAAGAGATCAAAAAGAGGTACATTATATAGAAAGCAACAAATTGGCTGCCAGATCCTTGATCCCCACACATCAGTTGTCGAGGTACAAACACATCATTGACGCCTCCTTCTAGCGATGACTACTCAATCCCCCAAGAGTGGGTAGGTCTGTGGAACGGAACAATTCAAAGAGGTGTCTCTCGAACTTCGTCTCTTTAGCATCCTCAGTTCAGGGATGAAGGATATCCTCAAGGGAATCCCAGGCCTCAGAACCTTAATCAGCACATCTACATATATCATTGGACTCATTGCGGACATTCTTTTGCATGAGTTGTTCTTTCTTTATTTGTTTGTTTTAGTTTAGTTTGTTCTTTTAAATTGAAGCAAAACAATCGTTCGATCTTGAAGTTCAGTATCATAGCACCGAAGAATATTGTTATATTGCTACAGAAGGCCGTGGCCGGAGAGATTAATATTGTTCTGACGGGTCCTATCCATGAGACACCTCGACGATTAGTGTGCGCCTTGAGATGTTCGGCTAGCTAAGAAAGAGCTGGAAAAATATTTAAAATAAAATTTAAAATATTACAAAGAGATGGCCCTCAGAAGAAGCTACTTCTAACACTTTTCAAGAGACAATTTTATCATTAGCAAGGAACAATTTGTAGCACTTATAAAATATGTATATTTCATCTTCCCAACTTTATTAGTCGCCCAATCATTCAGGTTAACAACACCCAACCCCTAAGCTAAGAATACGATTAAGACCTCGGCCACGATGGCTTGACGTTGAACTCGCCGGATACCTTCTCGAGGGGCACCTGCACCACTTTGGCAGTCACATCCACGTTTTGGGTGGGCTCGGAGAAGGCGATGTTGTAGACATCCTCGTAGGTAGCCGCAAAGTAGACCTCCAGGCCTTCGGTTATGAATTTGGGCAACTCCGCAAAGTCCGACTGGTTGTCCGCGGGCAGGATGAGGCAGTTGATGCCGCAGCGACGTGCCTGAAAGTGGTGGTAATTTGATCAGATCGAATCAAGCTGCGCAATAATTACACATCTGCTTACGGCTATGGCCTTCTCCTTGATGCCACCAACGGGCAGAACTTTTCCTTTTAGCGATATCTCGCCCGTCATGGCCACATCCTTCCGCACGGACCTGTTGGTGGCTAACGAAATTAGGGCAGTGATTATAGTGATGCCAGCACTGGGCCCGTCTTTGGGTACGGCCCCCTCAGGAATATGAAGGTGGATGTTTCTATAATGGACACAGATGAGATGAATCAACGAGTGATTTCTACGAGAACTCTTACTGAAACTCGAGGTACTGATTGTTAAAATCTCGTTTCACAATAAAGTTACGCGCCACAGTGAGCGCTATTTGGGCCGACTCCTTCATTACATCTCCGAGGCTTCCGGTGATGTATAACATGCCACGACATCTACGACCGTTCCGCTTGCTCCGTGGCGATGTTTCAATGTACAGCGATGAGCCGCCCATGGCCGTCCAGGCTAGGCCAATGACCACGCCCGGCGGCGTCGTCTCGTACATGCGATCCGAGGTAAAGATCTGCTTGCCCAGGAATGTGGTCAGGTTTTCGGCATCCACTGGGAAGTGGGTGCCCGCCTTCTTGACGAAAAGGAAGGCCACCTTTCGAACAACCTTCTCGATCTGCTTCTGCAGGTTGCGCACTCCGGACTCGCGGCAATAGCTTCGTATCAGCATAATCAGGGCATTCTCGCTGATGCTGATATGCTCGTCGGTCAGGCCAGAGTCGTTCATTGACTTCGGCACCAGATACTGACGGGCAATGGCCACCTTCTCCTCGGCCACATAGCCAGACATCTCAATCAGCTCCATTCGATCCCTCAGTGCCTCTGGTATGCTGTCAACCACATTGGCCGTGCAAATGAAGAGCACACGCGACAGATCGACTGGCACGTCCAGATAGTGGTCTAGGAAATTGGCATTCTGCTCAGGATCGAGAAGCTCTAACAACGCCGAGCTGGGATCTCCCAGATGGCCCCTGTGGATAGATTGATTGGTCATAATATTTCTTTCTATTCGACATTACATCTATTGCTATTCGTGCCACCTACTTGCCGATCTTGTCCACCTCATCAATGAGCACAAGGGGATTCTCAGTCTTGGTCTTCTTCAGGCACTGTATTGGTTTGCCAGGCAAAGCGGCCACGTAGGTGCGACGATATCCCTTGATCTCAGCCACATCCATCATTCCACCCACACTGAAGCGGAAGTACTCACGATTCAGGGCCCGAGCAATGGACCTGGCTATGCTCGTTTTGCCCACACCAGGCGGTCCGTGGAAGCACAAGATCTTGCCCTGCGTGTTGCCCTTCAGGGAACTGACGGCAATAAACTCTAGGATGCGCTTCTTGACATCCTCCATGCCGTAGTGATCTTGGTTCAAGATCTCGTTGGCCTTGTCCAGGCAGAGATTCTCAGGGTTTTTGACGCCCCAGGGTAGCGAGGTGAGCCAGTCGAGGTAGTTGCGGGTAACACTATTTTAACCAGAAAAGAAAGTTACATTACGATGATGTTGCGGAACTAATGGATCTCTTGCATACTTAAATTCAGAGCAATGACTCTCTAGAAATTTCAGTTTTGCCAGTTCATTATCGATGACCTGTTTGATGCTTTGGGGAACAATTTTTTCTTTGAGTTTTTCGAGATACTTTTCAACGATGGTAGCCTTGTTGTCTTTCTCAATGCCCAGCTCCCTCTTGATAACCTTCAGCTGTTCCTGCAGTATGTGTCTGCGATGATGCTGCTTGACCTTTTCCTCCACCTCTTCTCCAATTAGCGCCTGCAGTTTCCATAGCTCCAACTCCTTTTTGATTAAGGTCAGGGACAGCTGCAGGCGTTTGGAGATCTTAAAAGGAAGCATTTATTATCATAAAAATAATATCTTTAGTCAAATTTACATTTGTTTCCTCTAGGATGTCTTGCAGCTCCTCCGGGTAACCGGCTGAAAGGGTGGCACCCAGGTCGCATAGGTAGATGGGATTGTCCACGACTCGTTGATTTTGATGCAGCATTCGATGGAAACTATCCCTAAAATAAAGCGAGATGATAAAGCAGTGAGTTTCTTCGCGTTTCTGATTTCTGATTTCTGGTTTCCGGTTTCTGATTTTATAGCTTACTTATACAGGGGATTCAAAGTGATAATGTCGCGTAGGGTCTTGACAATCTCTTGGGTGAGCGCCTTGACCTCTACGGTTTGTTTGTAGATCTGTACCTTGACATTCTCCACCTCTACAATGAGCACAGGCGCTGCAGCGGGGGCAGCTGATGCTGATGCTGATGCTGATGCGGATGTACTCGCTTCGGCATCGATTGCGGCTGCAGCTTCGAGTGGATAATGCCATGATGTCACAAGAGTTTTTCACAATTTACATATTTCGGCTCATACCTGGCTCTTTTGGAGGTTGCTGATCATCGACCACCTGTCCTGTGATGCGTATACGACGATGGGCCACTAGCAGTAGGCGCAGCTTGTCGCCCAAGTCCATAACCTCTTGAATCAGTGCAAAAGATCCCAGCTGATAGACTTCGTCCAGACTCCTGACGACCTCCTCCTTCCCAGTGAATTTCCTGAGGAAAACCCCAACATAAGGCTGGTTGAGCGCAACTTTGCGGCGCAGCAGCTCTACGACAATCGGATTGGACACCTGGAAGATACGACATGGAAGGCTACTGGCGTTCAATGTTCCAGTCATGGCACTCACCTCCATAATCTTCTTGAATCTCGGAAACAGGGGATGCCCACGCACGGCCAGTAGCGGAACATTTGGCCATACGTCGGGCACTTTCTCTGTGTCGGGCAGGCGGGCATCTCGGGGCATCTCATCCCGCGCTTTCATGTCGTCCAAATCATCGGAAGTGCTAGTGAAGAAGCGCTGAGCCATCATTGTCACCTCATTGGGTCTTTCCAAGCGGGTAACTGCTAAAATCTCGCTGAAACCTCTGGACAAAGCCTTTTGGCCACGGCGATTGCGGGTCCACACGGCTGTCGAGGACAGGCCATGCATTAGCTGCCGACCTCGTATGACGCGAGCTATCATTTTCATTGAGTTCGAAACAATGAAATTTATAAATAAATTGCAGAAAACGAACCAAACAACAAAATTTTGTGACAGGACGGACTGGTGAAGGGATGATGGTAGTGTTCTAAGTTTCCTGGCAAACGAGTGAATTGTAACAGAAAATGCACAACACTACAATTCGTTAGTTCTCAAAAACAACGGTTGTATTGCTGTACCGTTTCCTTATGTATACGTATGAGTAGGAACACATTATTCTCAACGATTAAATCGCAAATTTTTTGAAATTGTGCTGCAAAATGTTCAGCTCCGTGGACGAAGATGCGGCCGAAGCATTCTGTCGCATTGCCGAGTCCGATTGCAAGTCCACACAGCCTGTGGTACGGCAGCTAAGTGCCGATAACCGGATAAGTCTGCTGATGTATCTCCCCAGGAAGAAGTTCAGACTTTGCATCTTAGACACCATTATTGAGTCCTACCTTATGTGGCTGCGTAACACAGTGATTCCAAAGGCAGTATTTTTTTAGTCGTTCTTCTACAGTCGACATGCCACCGACATGAGGCAGAAGTGGAATAAGCTCTCCCTGCAGACGATTATCATCTTTGGCTAGTTGGCCGGGCCTACACGCAGTCACGAGGTAGACACGCTGTGGGACAACATTACCTGGGAGTACAATCCCAAGGCGCACGTCTTCAAAAAGTATACTAGCAGTATTGTAGGGGAATGACAATTTTTAATTTGACTTTACCGAGCTAAATTGTTCAAAGCACTAAGTCGTTCCACACTCGACGGATAAAGGATAAAAGTTTGTTATATACCAATCAGATTTTTAGCAAATTTTGGTGAGCTTTATAAAAACGGATTAAACAATTTGTTACACTTGATAGTTTGGATAAATAAATAAAATAAATTATCCTAAGGCTGCCGCATCAAATGCTCCAAGCATATATGCGGGTATCTGGTAGTTGGAGTAGACGCTGGAGAACTTGATGACCCAACCGACACCGTCGTAGTTTACAGTCTTATGGAAGCGGACGACCAGCTGGCTGCTCTGGCTCTTGTAGACACGCGGGGCATCATCGCCGCAGAACCGTCGCATCTCTCGCTCCTCGCCAGTGACCACGTCCGTCTCCAGGACCTGCAGAAAGTCTGTGTGGCAGGTGCTTCTCGAGCCCAGATTGAAGGCTGGACAAGGGAAAGGATAATCAGTTTTGGGCCAACACCAAGGAAAGCTTGACTTACTCTCGAAGAACAGGAGCACGCGGTTGTTGCTGGGCACCCGGATCGTCCAGCGGCAATCGGAGTTGTTGCGTACATTGTCCGGATAGAAGGGATTGGTGAAGATGCCCTCGGTGTTGTAGAGCTGGCCGCCGCAACCGGGGCCCGCCTCCACGGGGCTGGCCAGGAAGGTCAGGTCCAGCGTGCTCAGATAGGAGCCGGTCTTAATGTGCAGCCGCAGCTCGTTCGTCTGACTAAAGAGGCTCTTGCCCGCATCCACGTAGGAGCAGACGCGCTGCAGCGACTGGTTGTTCCTGTCGAACACCTGCATGTTCTCCTGATCGCAATCAAATGACCCGAACACCAGCTCCGCCTGGTACAGGCTGAGCGTGTAATTGGCAGGCGCCCGGATGTAAACATCGCAGTCCGAGGTCTCCGACAACCGCACTCGTCCCTGAAGGCCACTATAGTGGCGCTGACAGTCCGAGTCCAGGGACACCCGAATCCGGAAGCCGGGCCTAGTCACCGCACCGTTCGTGCGGAACTTCATGTATACTTCGCGGGCATTCGCATAGTACGTGTCCGGCTTTCCGGAGCCGCAGTACACATGCTCCGTGGCATAATTGAGCATGTTCAGACCGGACGTGTGGCCGTTGAAAATAAGCTCACTGCCAAAGCCCCGCTCCACCATCAGGGCATCCTAAAAATCACAGAGAGAGAGAGAGAGGAAAACTTAAATTATTTGATTTGAGGATCCATATGCATATGCATATACAGCAGCAAGATTCGTTGTGAGTGCATGTGTGTGAGTGATGAATTGGATGTGTGAATGAAACCCGATCCAGAGGCTTGTCGTGCTCATCCTAATCATGATGAAATTATACATGGTGGCTCAAGCAACTGGCTCTCTGTTCGGGTCTTATATAGATCTTCCCTCCCGCACCAAACATGGCGTCAAAGCGCTGAGCGTAAAATAAAACCCGAATCTTGAAGACGGAACAAATTACCTCATTGTTGTAGATTTTCAGATAGTCAGCCGTACAGTTACCACTGGCATCGGGCCCTTCCAAATCGAAGCTGACGAACTGAAGATTGAGGGCCGCATCCCCGGTGATCTTCCAGAAGCAGGCCACACCGTTGTCGTAATTGCCCTCGGCCTCCGTGGAGGGAGATCCTAGGGTGACCTGCTTGAGGCCAGTGGATTCCAGCTTTATCTCCGGACTGCCGCAAAGCCTCGGAATGCTGCTAACGGTCAGCTCGAAGCCGGAGTCATTGATGTCCGAGTTCGTGAAGAAGCGCAGGAAGAGTGTGTGCCGGGAGGTGGTCAGAGTTGGCAGCTGATTATAGCCGCAGAACCTGCCAATGAGCTCCGAAAAGGGTCCGGCCCCGTCGCGCAGCTCAACAAAGTCCTTATGACAGTCTTCGGACTGCTCCACATGGAAGCTGCGGAACTCGATGCTCAGCTGCTGATCGGCCGGTGCACTGAACACGATGTTGCAGTCCAGGTTGGGGTCGTAGCCCTCCTGGCTGTAGAATTTGCTGAACACGTACCTGGCCGAGTTGTTAATTTGGATGTGCTCATCGCAGTTACGCAGCACACGCACCAGGGCCCGGAATCCTCGCGAGGGATCCCGCTCATCGGAGAAGCTGTGGATCAGAGCGCGATCGCTACCGATGCTGATGGTGGGCAGATCCTCGGTGATACACCCACAGAAACGTCCGGCCCGCAACCTCTCGTTCGGCACAGCCCCGGCAAAGACCTCCACCCCGTCGTAGGCGCAGTTCGAGTGCCCCTCAAAGTCGAGGAGCTCAAACTTGATGGTGAACTTGTGGCCCTCTGGCGCTGTCAGATTCCAGTAGCAGTCGCTGCTGGGCGGCAGCTTGTTGTCCGTGTGCTGCCGCGGCGACGCCACCACGCCCGTCTCGCTGACCACGCCACCGCACAGCCGGGTGCTGTATACGAGCCGGAAGCCGCGCCCGTTGTAGCTGCTGTCCGTGCGTAGGGTCAGATCGATGGACTGCCTGGCCCGGTACTCGTGGTTGTGCTTCACCCCGCAGATGGTGGCCTGCTGCACGTGGTCGTTGCCATCCCTCGTGACCACCGTGACGTTGTCGAAGGGGCAGACATTTATGGGCGCCTGCTCCAAGTCGAACTGCAGGAAGCTGACCAGTACGCCGGCTGCATGCGGATCCTGTGGCACGAATGTCCAGCTGCACATGAGGTTCTTATCATAGCCCGGGTAGCCGGGGCTGGTCAGCTCCTGCTCGTCGGCAGTGGCGTAGAGAGTACCGCCGCAGTTCCGCTCGAACTTTGCCACAAATCCGTCGCCCACCACATCGGCATCGGAGCGGAATATGAGACGCATGAAGGGGGCTGTGGTGTTGATCTGTTGCGGCGGGGCCCGGCCACAAATCCTCTGCAGGTCGGTCCAGTTGCCGCCGGACTCGTTGCGCTGTTGGACCAGGAGATAGTCCTTGGTGCAGCCACTACTGTCCTCGATGTAGAAGCGGGAGAGGAACGATAGTCCAATGTGGTAGCCCGGCTCCGATTCCACATCCCACACGCACTCTACGTTGTTCTTGTACTGCTCGCTGAAGTCAATCTGGCGATACGGATAGCTGAGCTTGCCCCCGCACCCCGAACCGTACTTTATGGACACATTGAAGGTAGAGTTGGCCTCGTACCGGTCGGCATGATACTCCAGGAAAAGACCGCGCTCCACCACCAGATTGACGGCCGAGGCCTGGTCGCAGTAGGTCCCCAGAGTGGGTGAGTTCTGGTCGGGACCGTTGTACACCTTGAGAAACTGCTGATGGCAGCCGCCCTCACCTACAGATCCACCTCCATTTGGCAGGTTCACTGTGAGGGACACCTCCAGCTGGATATCCTGCGGAGATGGTCCGTCCTCTCCGTTCGCATCCATGTCGGGACCGATGGCCCAGGCACAGTCGATGGCTCCCGCCACACCGCTCATGCCAGTCGGCTGGCGGATGGTCAGATTGTCACCCGGTTCCAGCGGCCAAATGCCGCCGCAGGACTGCATTTTATAGCCAAGAACCAGATGCCTGAGCTCGTTGCGGATGCTGGCCGAAACGGTCAGCTGAATGGGGAAGGGCACTCGCACGGTGGGCGGAGTGTCTCCGGGGCCAATGCTATCGAATCCGCAGAGGAAGTGTGAGAGGAGCGGCTCAGACTGCTCCAGGCGCGAGAGCTTGAGGGGCGAGAGGAGGGCGCAGATGTGCTGGTTCCTCATGATCACGGAGCTACTATTGTACTGCAGCACCTGGATGAGGATCGTGCTGTTGGGCGGCGGACTCAGGTTGTAGCTGCAGTGCACCATGCTGGTCAGATTGGACCGCTCAAAATTCAGGGATCCTCCGGGCCCGCCCTCGATGAGGTTCAGGCGCCGGCACTCACTTATTCCGTGGGCGCTGAAGCGTAGCTTGAAGCCGCGATGTCGGCTAAAAGGCAGCAGGAAGGCATCGATACCCATCGTGTTGTCCGAGGAGATTATCTCGGATGGTGGGTCGCTGGTGTACCGTCCGAGGATGGACTGTATTTTGTGGTCATTGGCGAAGGTGAGGCGGCCCCGGAAGGCGGGCGACCCTCGAGTCGTTGTCTCTCCGCCGGTATTGAAGTCAAGAATCTCGACGCGGACACGTCGTCCCTTGGGCACCTCCAGACGCCACACACAGTGCATCGGATGGGTCACGCCGTCCGGATAGCCTGGTGTCTGAAGCACTCCCTGCATGGCCTCGATTTTTTCGCCGCATCGAGACCCGAGCGCCTTATAGCGGAAGCGGAATCC